CCCCCCCTCCCTAAATTCGCGATGCTGCAAGAGGAAGGCGCGAAAACGCAACGGGGTGGCATGGACGATCTAGCAAAACCTGAAATGCGAAGTGCGCCGACATCCGAACTTGCCAGAGATTCAAATATTTCGACTGTGTTGATTTTTTGTGCCCAAGGGCATCTGAATATTTCTTGTGTCCACTCCGGCGACAAGAATCGTATTGATAGAGAAGGGGGATCCCTTCCACCTTGTGCTTTTTATGATTTCATGAGTTGGACGTTAAAGTCCGTAGCAGCTGCTGAAGTCAAACCCCTTGATCTGTTGACAGGCCGCCAATGATGGAAGAACCAGCTGCTGCAAAGGGCCTTGGCCCGCCTACCACACATCACCACAGGTTGTTGAAGAGGGTAGGTCCCGCAACCGCCTTAGCGATTGTCTAGCGCCGAGAGGTTAGTCCCTCAAGGCGCATGTCAGCCGACACTTGAGTGTCGAACGGGACCCTAGAAACCATCGAGGGCCACGCGAGTACGGGCAGCAGACAGTACGCCATTACCACGACTGCTTGCGTACTCATGCATGGCTAGTCGTTATGAGGAAGGTTGCATCCGCGCGGCATTTGTACGCCGTCTAGCGTTGGATGGCCAAAGGATTTCCCTGACATTTGGCTATGGGTCTGACACCGTATGGCTATGTTGCACGCCCGGCTGCGGCCGGGGGGTCCGAATCGGCCGCGGCCTAGGCCGATAACCGATTCGGCCCGGTTCGGCCTAGGCTGATCAGCCGAGTTCGGTACATGATTTTTTTTACCCATATTTCATGTACAAAAAAAATAAATAAAAAAAATGGGCGTGTAGGGCTGAAAAAGCCCTACACGCCCATATTTTTTTTTTGGTGTCGGACCTTTGTGCGCGGCGCAGAAAAACAAAACGCAAAAAAAAAAAAAAAAAAAAAAAAAGAGCCCGGTGGGCCGTTTTGGCCCTGTTTCGGAGCCAGTGGGTGAAGGGCAACGTGTGGGCAGTGGGCAATGAGGAGGGTGGTGGGTCCAGGCCAAGGCCACGGCAAAACTGTTGCCGTTTCAGATAAATGCTGCCATTTATTTGAAACGGCAACAGTTGTTGCTGTTGCCGTTAGGCTGGCGAAGTGCCTGCTCGCACGCTGAGAGAGAGAGAGAGAGAGAGAGAGAGAATATTGGTTTACTACGTACCAGCTGCACTGGAGATACCGCTAGAGAGAGA